TTTTTCACGTTCCATTTCTTCATTAAATCGTATATATAAAAATTGAACATATTCAAATCGAATTCGCTGTGATTGTTTTAATTCATGAGATTTGTTTTGAATATTTATTAATAATGTTTCAAATTTTTCTTCAATTGTTTTTGCACGAATTTTAATACCTAATTATTTATAAATTAAGAATATAATTTAATATAAGAACAAATAATACTAACCAGAAAGAATAATTGATCGAAGTTCATTGAGAAGTTGAGTATCTTGCATATGATTAGTAAGATTTTTAACTTGTTTAATTATTAATGGATCATTAAGTTGAATAGATATTTGAATTAATTGTTGAATAAGATCTTTTTCAAGTTTGTGAATTCCTAATGATCCAATTGTGTGAGTTTTTCGATTTCATTGTATTAAGAAGATTATCCAGATTAGATTGTTCGCGTTTGTATTCAATTTGATCGATTGAAATATCAACATACTGTTTGTCTATAGAAAAACAGAATTTGATTAATATATTTTTTTAAATAATTTATTTTACCTAAGATCGGTATAATGAGTTCGATGATTTTTTCTTCGATTTTTAATTTATCAAGTCGATTTTGTATGTAAGCATTAATAAGTTCATATTCATCGGATATTATTTTTAAAAATTCATTTTTATTTTCAAATGAGTCCAAATATGTAAATAATTCACGTTGTTTTCCATCAAATAAATTTAATCTATTTGAAATTATATTCTCAATTGAATGTCATATTTGAATTCCAATATCAGATAGTTGAATAGTAATCAGATATTGTTCAGGTGTAAGTAATATTTGTTCATTAGTTTTTTCATCGTATAAAAAAGTCAAAAGATCACAATCGGAAATATTTAATGATGAATAAGTAGAAATCAAGTAGTTGAATTGATTTAGAAAGTAGTTGATCATTACTACCGACAACAAATAATGCTTGTCCTAGAAAAAAATATAGATCGAGTGTTATATTTCATATTATAATACAGTTGATTGGATGCGGAAGAATGTAAGTAGCGCATAACAAATAGAACACTTTTCATATCTTTTTTCTTGAAGACCTAAAGCATAATTGCATGAACATGGAAAACAAGAGAGTCCTAAAAATTGAAGTCGAATTAGACTTCGACCCTGTTTAGTGTCGGTATGCTCTAGAAGATATTGTTAAACCCGTCCAAAATATCTAAATGATATTTTTCAGATCGAAAATGTAAAAAAATTCCTTTTTTTTCTGATTCTAGACTTTTCCCCAATCAGGTACTCGTCTCTTAGTTTATAAATATTTGCATGACACTTTTTTGAAAATCTAAAGTCGTTCCGATTTTATCAATTGACTTCTAATCAAAGTTTTTGATGAGCAAGAAAGGTATTACTTAAGATTTTCAAAAAAGTATCATGAATAACAGCCTGTTGCTCATATTGTTCAGAAGTATTTATGGGTAGTTAGTGGAAATTTGTGTTTTCAAAATTTAGATTTTCTCTCGGAAAAGTTTATTGTGATCTCGTTATACACGGAATTCAATTTCAAATAAACTTATGTAACTTATTCATTGAACAGTCAGAAGTTTTACTTCAAACATTGTGAAAAATGCATTAAAAGATGCTAAATTTTATTACATATTTTAATTCTCAATAGATCTATCATTAATTAACAGTCTTTCAAAGGTTACAGTTGAACGATTGAGTGATGATGAATCTTCTGAATTTTTGTGCAACAAAAAGCATGGAAACAATAGTTTTGTCGAACAAAAATGATTTTCTATAATATCTGCTTAGAATGAGGACTTACTTGGTGGTAATTTGTCAAAGAAAATCGATTTTACATTAAGACTAATAGATTTATTTATTGAATGATTTGATGATATTTCAATAATTTGAATAGTTTTTCGATAATCATCAATATATTCAAATTCAATCGATTCCAATGTTAATTTTTTAAAAGTGATTGGTTCAGATAATGACATTTCATTTTTATCAACAATGATTAATTCATGTTTATCATTTGAAATATAAAAACGATCTGATTCAAATGGTAATCTAATAAGATTGAGTTCATCTGAAATTGGCATATTATGTTCATCAACAAGACATAAAGGTTGTTCTATTAAATTTCCTGAATAATCAACTGAAAGATATTTTAATTTAGCATTTAATGAAAAATTTGCATGATTAGAATGATAACGAGCAGTTGTAATATTTAATAAATTCTTTTGAATTTTATTTGACTCTTTATTTAACATATTATAAATATCTTGTAATTTATTAATAAATTCTATTTGTTGTTGATCAAATGCAACAAATTTGTCCAAAGTCATTTTTATCGATTGTAGATTTTTTTTCGTTTATTTTCTGTTCTAAATATTCATTTTTAATAATTTGAAGACGATCATTCTATAAGTATTCGATTAGGTAATAAACAATCTAATATTAATAACTTACCATATCTATTCTTAGTAAATCTTGTGATATTTTCTTTTCATGAATTATTGTCTGACAATTTTTCATATTCATAGCTATTGTTGATAAATTATCACGAATCAATGTTATATCTTTATCAATTTGTAATTCAATCGGTGTCATAGATTGCAAAGATGTTTTTATTATAATTGATGGTTTATTAGGAATAATATCTGTTAATGTTTTACCATTAAAAATTTGCCCTATTAGTTGTAAATCTATATCAAGTGTTCGAATAGCTAATTCAAGATGTGTTCGAAATATAGGTTGAATTGCAAAGTATTCATGTTTTTGAATTTGATTAAAATCATTTTTGTATTTATAGAATTGATTATTTAAATTATGAAATATTTCTTGTTTTTCTGAATCTATATTTATTTCATTAGTTATTTATTTATGTGCAGATTTAATTAGTTCTTGATGATGTTTTTGATCGTTTAAAACATTTTCTATTTGATTAATTTGTTGTTGAAAAAAATTTTGTAATTTTGAAGTAAATAGATGAGTAAGAAATGAAAATTTTTTCTGAAATAAGGGTTTGTTTTTGAAGGAAAAAAAATTAATTTACTAAGTTGAAGATTCCTTTTTAATGAAATTTGCTCGATATATGTCATTTGTTAAAATCTATTTAAAAAAAGAAAAATAAAAAGTGATTATTTTTTTGTTGAAGAAGAATTTACGATTCAATAAGAAGTGCATAAAGATCTTCAATAATATTTGGCAGTACAGGTGAAATCGATTTTCGCTGTAAACTTTCATTTGTGAATAGAAAAGATTCAGTTCACTTTTCTAAAGTTACTATTTGAATTTTATGATATATGAAGTTCAGGTTCGGCTAATTGTTTACCTTTTTTATTGATGATATCATCTTGAATTGTAGATGATTCTAAAAAAGTGATTTAAAAGTTTCGATTGCTTTCACTAAATTGATGTTATCCATGGCAAGGTTATATGTAGTTAATTGATTGAAATATATCATTATATAGAGAAAGATTCGAGATATCATCTGAAGAAAAAAGATACTTTGAAATGCAGAAATGTAACTTGCAACGGGTTTTTACAGAGAGTATCTTCTTAGTTCAATGATATTCATCAAATTCAAAGGCGGTGGATATAATTTTATAAAACTATTCATATTGCTGAAGTTTTTCACATCAGGAGTCTTATTTTATGAAATTTACTGTTAAAAATGTGTCTCCTAATATATCAGCAACTTAGCCATGCAGAATCTACCTCTCTGCACGAACAACCGATTGGGGAAATTTTTTCATTTTACCGGCAGATTGTGCATACCTACTGCGACAAGCTTTCCTTGGTTCTAGTCCATGGTCCACCAACAATAAGTCGTGACTATTTAAATGAAGTTCTTATTCAGAGCAAAGTGTGTCCGAAAAAGTTCAAAACAAAGAGTTTTGACTTGAAGTTTGTCTTGAGACCCGTTTCATAGTCATGAGATAATCTCGAAAGTTTCAACTGGAATGAACATGACTTTCTCGAAATATTCAATATCCAAAAACAAAGAGAGCAGAAGTTTACAATATGAGGACAAAGTAATCGAGTTTACTTGGAAATCGAATATCTTGAAAAAGACATGATCGTTTTCGTTGAAAGTTTCAGAACTGTCCAATGACTATGAAAAGTGCCTATATGAAACATTTTAGATTAAAACTTCATTGAAAGATTTTTCTCGAAAAATATAGAACGAAAATATTTGCTTCAAATTAGTAAAATGATCATAACATTGTATTACTTTTATACATTTTGAAGTATTCTATTTTTAGATGATAGCTCTGATCTTTCTCTGCAAAATTACATATTTCGATGAATCAATTATGTATAGGATTGTCATAGATATCATCAATTTACTGATAAGATCTCAAACTTTTGAATCACCTATGATTCTTATTTGATCTTTTTTCGATGTTTGAGATAATGTTCTAATTTGTGATAAACGTTTTTCACTAGATGATTGTTCAATTATTTGTTGTATTTCTTCCGAAGTTTTCATTGATTGATCATCAATATAAAGTTGGTCTGTTTCACTAGATTCATATTCGATTTACTAAATTCTTTTTCTATTATATCAGAATATTTATTCATTTGTTGTGTAACATTTTCGCGTTGATCTTGTTTATTATAATCTTCAATATTTTGTTTTTCAGAAAAATCTAATTCCATAAATAATCGTTTTTGATTATCAGACAAATAAGGTAGAAGAAGTTGAGGTTTAAGTATTGAAGCATATGGATAGAATTGTTCAATAACATGTGTTTGATCATTTTTTATATCTTGTTGTTTATGAAAATCATCTAGATTAATTAATAGTCGAAGAGAATCTTCATCAATAGATGTTTTCAATTTTGAAGAATCAATTTGAGTTTTTCACTAAAATATTTATATAAAAAATAATTCTAAAAAGAAATAAAAGAAAATGCTTTATTTATTTTTTACAGATAATCTTGTTTATGTTGTTCACTGATGTTTGATTGTAATTCTTTAGTTTTGAATAATTCATTATATGCATCTAAATCAAAATCTTCATCTATTGCCGAATGAAATTTATGTTGATTTTGATCTTCTTGTTCTTGTTCTTCATCAATTATTTCTGAAACACATCGATCTGTTTCATTTGTTTGTGATAATAAATATCTTTTATACCATATATCACTTAAAAGTTTTAAATCACGTAAAAATTTCATATCATGATTATTAAAATCGACTAGAAATAGAAGTTTTTTGTTTTTTTTACTAAATAAATTAATCCTATTTATTATATTTACATTCTAATTTTAATGCTTTGAGTGCATTGAATGTATTTATTGGATGTAGATGTATATAGTTTTTTAATTATTGTCATCATATCAATGATACGTTTGAGACGGTCAAGTTTAAGAACATGATTAAGTAATTGAGAAAGATCAGTTGCTGTTGTACATAATTGTTTTTCTAAATTATTTTGTACATGATGTTTTTTTTACTAAGGCATTTTCTTGTGATTTAGAAATTTCCATAAATTTATTTATCTAAATAAGAAATGATTATAAGACTTCGTTGAAATATTTCTTGGTTTATGAATTCCAATCATAAACACTAGACAATTTACAGAGACTAGATGCATATACTTTCTTCTAATAAGCCTGATACTTTTTTATTATTCTGTAAATATGCAACCATAGAGCTCATTCGACAGTCTCACCAGCACTTACAAAATGAAACAAGGGTTTTTATAATATAGCCTTCTTTCCAAACTCTTTAGTAGAACTAAATCAAAAACTTGATTGTACAGGTTTGTAGATATTGATGTGATAAGCTTTATTGTCAATAGGAATTTTTCAAAGTTGGAACCAGAATAAACCTATCTTGATTGAGATATGAGTTTTAATATGATAATGTCATATTTTTGAAATACAGTCCAAAATAGTTGTTTCTTTAAAATGTGAATAACTGAGTCAGGAAGCGTTCACTCTAGCTCAAATATTAAAGAAATTTTAGTAATTATATGGTCTGTCTATGAAGAAAATATTAGCTTGAAATTTCACTTATTTAGGTTCTCAGTGATCCTTTGTTCGTAGTTCAATCACTATCCAATGATGATAGTCTCAAACAATAGAAGCAGTTTAATAGTTAGATATGTATTCATGTGATATTTACTTGAGTTATACCATATTATCTTTTGGCAATTACAAGATAAATGATATCTGATTAATATGACATACTCATAATTAATAACTAATAGAGTAAAATGATTCAATATTTTACTGAAAAATAAATATAACAAATGAGCATATTCATATTTACATTAAGACAGAATATTGTTTTGGCATAAGATTTAATTTCATTAGGTTTAGCTAATTTACTAACAATTAATAGAACCATAAGATCTTCTAATGCTATCATATCATAACGAATAAGTAATAATTGAAAATCTGCATGAAATAAAATTTGACATTGTTGAAAATGTTTCATTAATGGTTTTTCAGCGATTGAACCATTTTCTTTAATTAATAATGATATATTATATGTTATATGTCGTATAAGATCTAATGAACACCCACACCCTTGTTCAACTAATAAATGTAATTGATTTCGTGGTATTTTAGTTTGTATTTAATTATGACGTAATGAACGTAAATTTGGTAATAATTCATTGTTTATATTTTTATCTATGACTAATAATTCTTGATTATTTTCAATTAGAGATTCATGTTGTTTAACAAGACTATTATATGTTAAACGAGATAATATTTGTGTTGGTTTAGAAAATGATTGTATATTTTCATTCATTTTTAAAAGAGCATGATCAACTTTTCGTTGAACTTTTCCTTTTACTATTTTAGCATTTTTTATTTGATCACTTAATATATTGGTTTGAATAACTTGACGTCGACGCATATTTTGATTAAGTGCTAATTCAAATTGTATATTACTTAATTGTTTATGATCAAGTATATTAATTAAGAATTGTTCTTGAATGACAGTTTTATATTCACTTGATTGATTTTTCAGTATATCTTTTTTAAGATACTAAATTAAAATCAACGGTATACATGTTTTTGTTTTCAATTTATTTAATAGAAAATTATTTACATCTTGTAGAAAAAAATCTTTCGCTGATTGAATTATTTGTTCAATAGTAAAAAAACCATGATGTAGAATATGTTAAAAAATAATATTAAATTTTTCATTTTCAGTATTTGTTTGATATTGATTAAGAATTTCTCTTGTATGAATTTCATCAATATAACCTTCTTTTTGAATTAATTTAATCATCATATAAAAAAGAAATATAGCTTGAGCTTCAGGTGGAGTTATATTAGCAAGAGATTGTGAAATGATTTTTGAACCACGTAATTCATTGACTATATCTCTGAATAGAATAATTTCTTCATTGTAATATTAATTGAAAAAGTTGTTAGCGCAATCCATTAGAGATTTAATCGAGAAACATGATGTAGTTTTCTTTTGCTAATCAAAGCAAGTTCATATATTATAATGAGACGTTTGAAGTCCTTTTCTCGATGGTAGTAGCTAGCAAGACTCTAAAAATACATTTGTGTATCTAAAAGAATTTTCTATCAAAACTGTGAAGTACGACGACTTCAGCAACAATATTTAGATAAGAATCTGTAGAATATCAAGACCTCTCAAAACCAACTTTCTGGTTTTCATTCAAAGTTTTTAACAAAAAATTTAATCACTATATACATCAACACCCCTTTCAGATTGTGTTTTATAGAATAAAAGAAAGTCAACTCACAATCGACATGGTATTGGATATGATTCAAGATATCTATTCAGATCACCAATTGTTAATGATGCTTATTGTTTATGTATGTTGAATAATAATTTAATGACAACCAATTCTTTTTCAATTAATAATTGAGCTTTATAAACAGCCAAATGTTTAAATCCATTAAATTATGTTCTTAAAAATGTTCATTGATCATAGTTCGATGATTAAAATGAAGAATATAATCAAATATAGTTATTATGATTGTTTGTTCTATTTTATGTCGAAGAACAGAATCATGAGTATACATAGATATATTTCGAGTATAACAATCAAGTATGGATTGAAGTGTAAGACTAGTTTCTCGTAAATCTAATTGTAACGATAAAAGGAGAGATGATGATGTAATGACAGACTGGAGGAGTAGCTTACCGCCACCCTCGATAATGATGTTTATTAGCTACTTCACATCTCCAGAATGTGTCTATTGCACATTCAACACACACTTATATATGATACAGAAACAATGGGAGAGAGACGACACAGAGAGAACAATAGAGAGAGAAAGAGGAAAGAGGAAAGAAGAAGAGCAGCGAGCCGTGACGCATATATCGGCACACTAATCTTGTCACTAAAACAAATAGACAATCTCAAATTAGTACTAATTTTCAAATCTACGTTTATAAAATCAGAAATTTAGTATATTGAAAGTCTAGATTAGAGCCCATCAAATTGGTCCCGAAAACCGATCTGGGTTCAAAAGTTTTGAAATCGACATCCTCTCAAAGGCATAAGATTGCAGACAATGAGAATTGTACGACATTAGGAACAAAAGAAGAATCACTGTGATTGTGCTTGTAAAAAGGCTAGTATTACTAAAATAACATTTCTCATTTCTGATATTTCTCATAGGTTTCTCTTCGTTAAAAATCAACAGTTAGATGTTTAGTAAAAACTAGTTATAATTTTAGGTTTACCTCTACTAATATTTACTTCTTCACTTCTACGATCAGTATTTTGTTGATCGATATTCAAAGCTAAAGAGTTCTTATTAGATTGTTCTTGTATATTTTCTATACTTATATCAATTGATGATTTTTGTTGATGATGCGATTGATCATTTGTATCTAATATTTGTTCATAAGCACAAATTTTAAGAACTTCTTCTGTGGGTAAATAATAATCTGTATTGGATAATAAAATTTCATTGACTTTCTCAAAACGTTCTTTATTTAAAATAATTCTTATAATAATTGTTGTTAAAAATATAGAATATTTTTCA